GTTCTCTAGGGCCTTCCTCCTGGCCTCTACCCCTCACCTGCCATTGTTGCCTCATTGAACTTCCTGTTGAGTCCAGGTTCTAAGGTCACTGGGCGCTGACTTGGGAGGATAGCACACCGAATAGTTGACAGACTTACAGCTCCAGAGATTTCTAAGCCTGGGCTGAGAGTTCCTATGGGACTGAGCCATGTAGCTGCCCTAACCAGAGCCCTTCACGCCAGTTTGAGCATCATGTTTCTGGAGGGGCCTGGGCCCACGTCCTGAAACCAGGGTAGCCAGAGCTCGAGCACCTCAGATCTCAGTGTGAAGCCAGCAGCTCTCAAGGTGGCCTCCCTCAGGAGCATCTGTGGGCCATTTGCATGTGTGTCTCTGAGGGAAAGGTGTCTGGGTGATGTGAGGGTGGGGCACACCCTCCCTGTGTCCCAAGCAGGGTTGGCCCTGCTCACTCACCAGTGGACCTGCTTGCAGTTTCCAATTTTCCAGGTTTGTCTCTTCCCACTGCTTCCTCCAGTTCTGGGTGGCATGAGGGGACAGTCAGGAAGGGAAGCAGCCTTGCTCCCACTTTTCCTGCCAGCCTCTTTTCCTCTCCCTGCCCATCTGCTCCCGTCCTTCTGTCTGTCTACATTTTGAAGCAATTCCCATACCATTTGCTTGAGTTGAATCTTGAGTGGGGCGGGTGGGGTCAGGCTGAGCCCACTCATTGTCTGTGCTTCAGCTGCTCCCAGCAAACTGTTGTCTAGACCAAGCCTGTGCGTAGGTGCCTAGGCAGCGTCTGCACAGATGTGACACGCCTCCACGCTGCTCTCCAGGGAACCAGGAAGGGAGAGGAGGCTCCATGCTCCAGGGATGTCCACTCATTGTCTGTGCTTCAGCTGCTCCCAGCAAACTGTTGTCTAGACCAAGCCTGTGCGTAGGTGCCTAGGCAGCGTCTACACAGATGTGACACGCCTCCACGCTGCTCTCCAGGGAACCAGGAAGGGAGAGGAGGCTCCATGCTCCAGGGATGTCAGAGACGGGGGCTGGAGTGATGGTGGAACCAACTTAACTCCCAGGAGCTGCCTGAGGCCCACAGGCCAGGACCACTGACGAAGGAACTGTCACCAGACCTAAGGGAAGACATCGCTCCATTCAGAGTGTCTTCTGGGCCAGGCTGCTGTCTGCTGGGTGCAATGGCTTTATTTTACTTTTTTATGTCATGAATTATTACTCTAGTGGTGGTAGACAGATGTTAAGCATAAAAATACACAAATAAAAATATAGTCATAAAATATGGAACGTGTTCTGAGGGAAATGGGACTTACTGGGTGGGACCCATGGGCAGGGAGGAGGGGGATATCAGGGAAGGCATCTCTATAAATGGAGAAGAAAATGCATAGAAGTTAGCCAGGCAGAGAGACACTGTTCTGGCCACGTTACTGCCCAGCTTCTTAAGGTCTTTCTGGGGATAGTTTTGTGAATGACTGAGTGTGCCTCTAGCACAAGCCTCTTGGCAAAAGTCAGCCTGAGCTTAACCCTGGTTTCTGCTCCCTCTGGAGATAGTCGGAGCCTCCTGAGTCATGTGGTCCTGGTTTCTGTCAGAGGAAATCATGGGTCTGCTCTTCAGTGTCACAGCTCTGGAGACAAACTGGGGCTTGCTAGTTTGTGGGGGGCCTCCTGAGTCATGTGGTCCTGGTTTCTGTCAGAGGAAATTGGGTCTGTCCTTCAGTGTCACAGCTCTGGGGCATGCTAGTTGTGGGGGGGGCTGTCCTCTACTTCCTGGTTTGCTGTTTCCAAAGGTTTGGGATTGGGGCCAGAATGTGAGGATTTAACCTGACTAGTGAACACCTACTTGCTCTCAAAGTAGAGGCAGCTTACCAGGAATAACAGCAAAGCCTGAAAGAAAAAAAGCAGAACTATTTGATTCCATGGAAATTTAACCTTTTGGGGGGGCCCTCCCTGGTGGCACAACGGGTTAAAGCACAGAACTGCAAGCAAGCTGCAGCCACATCAGTGCAAGTTTGATCCCCCACCCCAGAGGCGACCCACATGGTGCAGCAGACCTCTCCTGTCTTGCCCTCTGCTCCCCTCAGCAGTGTACTTCAACGGTGGTCTGCCTGTTCTGCTCCCCACTCTGTCTCTGGTGAATCCTCTCACCCTATGCACCTCTGGCCTGTACCCCAGTTCTTATATGCATAAATAAATCTTTTAAAAAATTTAACCTTTTCTTAAAATAAAAAAAGTAAAAGATTAAGAAAAAAACTATATTCTATGTCAATTCTAGGCCTAATGTGCAGAGTTCTTAAAAATCACTAAGGCTGGCCCTCCCTGGTGGCGCAGTGGGTTAAAGCACAGCACTAAGAAGCCAAAGCCACTTCCGCATGAGTTCGATTCCCGCTTGCCCCGGAGGTGACCACATGGCGTGGCAGACCTCTCCTGACCCGCCCGCTGCTCCCCTCAGCAGTGTACTTCGTCGATCTGCCTCTTCTGCTCCCTGCTCTGTCCCTGGTGAATCCTCTCACCCTCCTCATCTCTGGCCTGTACCCCAGTTCTGTATGAATAAATAAATAAATCTTTAAAAAAAGAAAAATCACTAAGGCTAATACCTATATGGAGTTAAAAATGGAAAAATAGCATGAGCTAAACATTCATTTTTAGAAGAATTCATATAATCAGTGAGCAGGTAAAATAAGTTTAACCTTTTGAATAGTCAAAGAATTAAGAATGTAAGCAATGATACCTTTTTGCTACCCATCGTTTTTGAAAATGAAAAAATATCAGTTATGCTTCAGGCTCTGGGATCCCCTTACCCACGCCGTGGTTGGCACCTAAGTGGGCAGAGCCTCACTGAGAGCAGCCAATATGCACCTAGAGTGCCCTGGAGTTTTTTATTTGTTGCAAGACAAGCATTGGGATTTACCCCGCATGGGAGGGAAAAGAATGCGAAGATGCATGTATGTAACTGCTAACAACAATACATGAGGGGAGAGAAGCCAGACGCGCTGGATGGGGGTGGCGCTCCCGGCCACGGTGCCTCCCGCTGCCTGGCCTTTGCAGGTGACACTGCAGAACACTGCCGCGGTGGGATGTTTGTCAGAGTTTTGTGTTTAATTTTTTTACTTTATTGAAATATATTTCATATACCATAAAATTAACCCTCAATGTATTTCCCCCCTTTCCTCCTTCATAATATGTTTTATATGTGAGAAAAGGAGACTTAAATAACTCTACCCCAGTGTGGTCCAAATGTTTATGATAATGAAATCTAGAAGCGTGCACACATACACACTGAAAGTCAACGTGAATATTAACAGTGATTATGAGTATGTCTAGGTAATCTATTTTGTAACCTGGTCTGTTGTTTTTTTTATTTTTGCTCATCTGTAGTTTCTAATATTTCTGCAAGAATTGCCAATTATTTTTATATGAAGAAACAATTACAGAAATTAGGATTCAGTATTTCCAAGTCCTTAGTGGAAGGGGAAGGCTGCCTTCCTCACGGGGCCCTCTGGCCTCTGCGTCCCTCTCTGGCTTCCCCCCTGGCTTCTCACTCCCTGCCTTGCACAAAATGCGCCAGCAACCGTGCTGTTGGAATTGGTTGCTCATGTGCCTTTCTTACCCGTGCATGTTTGTCTATCTGGCCGGAGTGACTCAGCCCCTTGCCTGGCGTGCTCCAGCAATACCTTTTTAGGGACTTTTGACCTGAACCCTCACCACACTGCTGGGCCCCTCCTCTGGATGAGACCGGCTTTCCCATGGCCCACGCCATGGGAAAAGCTTGATGCCACTGAGCTTTAAACCCTGCACCACCAGGAAGGCCTGAGGTTTAGGGCCTAAATCCTGCCTGGATTTAGCTGGGAACACAATGTCTTGTCTTGCCTCCACTCTGCTTTCTTAGGTGTTGATTCTAGAGAACTGGAAGGAGCATCTCTTTGTTTTTATTTTCTTTTTAAAATCCATGTCTAAAGGTTAATATTTCCTCTGAGATTTTTTTTTTAAATTTATGCATACAAGAGCTGGGGTGTAGGCCAGAGGTACAGGGTGGGGGGAGGTGAGGGGATTCACCAGAGACAGAGTGGGGAGCAGAACAGGTAGATCTACGGAAATACACTGCTGAGGGGAGCAGTGGGCGGGTCAGGAGAGGTCTTAGCTCCCTGGCTTGGGACTGACTTACAAACTTATGCTGCAATGGCTGGGAATTGCTTGATCCCACTGAGACTTAAATTCTGCGCCACCAGGAAGGCCCGAGGTTAGTATCTTCTAGAATTGGACTCCTCTGTTCACCTTCCATTTTAATCCTGGCGCAAACAGGGATTACCACGCAAACCAATGTTTAGCTACTTCCACTCATATCCTTTCACTGACTCCTAAATGTATAATATGTTTTTTTCCCTTACAATTAATTAAGGATAAATTGAAAACAGGAGAGAGGGAAGAGAGAGTGAAACCCCCACTGACAGGTTCTGTGTGAGACGACCTAAGAGTGGAGGAGAGTTTGAGAGAGGAGGTCTCAGGACAGTCATCTCACACTCCCTGGTATGAGACACCCGCCTCCCCGCAAGACTCTTGTCCTCATGCCTCTCCCCATCTTCCCCGGGGGTAGAATCAGCGAAAGTGGAACCCAAGTGGTGGCACGCCACTCAGCCACGTGGCTTGGGGTCCGGGAGAGAAGGCCTCACTCTGGGAAGTGTCACTTCCCGTCAGCTCTCCTGTCTCTGGCAGTCCTGGAGGGCCCCCATTTGATCATGCCATCTACACAAAGCCCGCTTCCTGCCGCCCAAACTGACAGCTGCCTGGATGCCTTGAACACAGCCACCTTTAGCCTCCCATTAGCCCCAAGTAAAGGAACTGCAGTTCTTTGCCACTGGGGACCTTGGATGCTCCCCAGAAAGGGGAGGAGGTGGCAGCAGCAGTGGGAACAGCAGCAGCAGCTGTGTGACCCATCCCCAGAGACTTTCAAGCTGGGTGAGCACAAGGGAACTTGCTGACTGGTTCAGTGAGAAGGCTCTTTTCTGTCTGTCTAGAGCTGAGAATGAAGCGGAGAGCATCAGACAGAGGAGCTGGGGAAACGTCGGCCCGGGCGAAGGCTCTAGGAAGTGGGATTTCCGGAAACAATGCAAAGAGAGCGGGACCATTCATCCTAGGTAAGCCTCTGACCTCCTGCGAGCTGGTGAGTCGGGAGCAGGGGTGGGCACCGGCCCACACGTCTGGCTGGCGGCAGAGCGCGGCGCCGCACCACACAGCACGGGGTCCTGGCCAGCCCTCGCGGGCCCTGCTTCCCCACTTCATATGCATACAGCGTACGTCAGCAGGAAACCTGGACCTTCAGGGCCTCGTCTTTGCTGAGGCTGCACCAGCTTTCGACCACTTTCAACTGAGAACTAAATTCCATCCCTTGCTCCAGAGAACCCTGTGTTTGCCCCCCAATGTCGGCGGACAGTGACAGAGGCGGTGGACAGCTGCTTTAGAACACAAGGTCCACCCACCATCCAGGATGCTCTTTGACCCTTCTTGGAGGGCAGGAGTCATTTCCCAGAGTGTTTGATAACCCCGTAAACTGCTGGTAAATTTAGTCTAGAAATCCCATAAAATAGGTGTTCTCGGGGGCCCAGAGGAGCCACAGTCTTTGCATTTTCTGTTTGCTGTTGGAGGCCCAGGAGGTGGGTTATTTGTGCTCAGGCTTGCACATGGGGTTAAAACAGTGCCAAAGACCTGGCATGGTTGGGGACAGGTAGCCGTGGGGTCTCACCTATGTGCTATCAATTGCAAGATCACTCACACTCAGGTGCAACTACAAATGGGAGATTGGGGGCACAAAGGGTTTCTAAGACCACAGGTTGCTGGCCGTGTCATCCCAGATGGTGTCCCTCATGTTCAGTAGTTCCCAGCAAAGGCCACTCGTGTGGGATGGTGCTATCCAGTCAGCAAGGGCCTGGAGCTGGTGGCAACCGGTCAACAGGGCCCCAGGGTCCAACTCACCTTGGTAGCTGGAGGTGCTCACAGGTGGGCGGCGGAGTGACACTGCAGCAGCCCCCAGCAACAGTCCGGATGCTGGACTGGACAGCAGTGGAGGCAGCACAGGTTGTGCCGTGTGATCAGAAGCAGTGGCCAGAGTCGACAGCACTGGTTAGCACTTGTCGGTGGTGCCCTGTGTAGGCAGCGTCGGGGCAGGCAGGTGCGTGGCCAGGTCTGTGGAGCTCTAGGAGGGCTGCCGGTCTGCAGAGTCCCGCGGCACTGTCTGCTCCATGCTGCTTTGGAGCCGTCGGCTGAACCCTTCTCTTTAGCGGTTGGCTGCTGAGTCCTTTCTTCCAAGCTCTGGAGGAGAAGGAATGGAGGCTAGCTCCTGCCCTACCTTATAGACTCTTTCAGGGTTCCCCACCCTCCTACAAGCCTGATTGGACCATTTTCAATCCTAAGCATCTGATCGGTGCCAGTTAGCACCAACCAGTTGCTTCCACTCTTCAATCCACTCACAAACAACTCAAACCTGATGGGTCCGTATCTTTAATCTGATTCATTTATAAGCCAAGGACCAAACAAAAATGCAATCCAGGGCCCGCACAGACTCCGCAGGCCCTGAGGTTAGGGTAGGTTCATGGGTGGACTCTGAGGAGCCCTGGCTAGAGCCAGCCTCAGTGAGGCCAGAGCCCCTTGAGCAGGGCCTGGTGTAACGCGCAGAGGGCTGGGGGGAATATGCAGCCGCACTGGACACTGGCCCCGCCGCTGCACGTGCTCCTCTGGGAGCCGCCACGCTGAGCTGGCAGTTCATGGGCCTCCGGTGCCTGCGGCTTGGTGTGGTGCCGGGCTACCCAGCAGGGCCCAACACCCCTCTAAGTAACACCTGGCCAGGAGCTGCTGCTGGAGGTGTGACCTCGCAGCTGCCGTCCCAATGGGGCTACAACACCCTGGAAAGGCAGTTTGGGGACCACCACTGCCCTGCGCAGCTGCTGCCACCTTCAGAGTGGCCCTGGGTGCCTCCCTGGGCAGCACCCTTGAGCAGCAGGCAGGAAATTCTCGCTACTGCTGTCCGAGGGAGGCTGCCAGAGTCCTGGGATTCCCACCCTCCAACGTGCCCAGCACTGGGGAAGGGGATGCCTGTAGGTGGCGAGCCTGGCCCCGACAAAGTCCACATGCCCCACCGCCTCTGGTGCTGCAGGGTTGAGTTACAGGGCGCGTACCCAGCTCTCCCGGCAGCCAGAGACTGAGTGTGGGTTTTGCTTGGGGACAGCACGTTGGCTTTGTGAGCACAAGAGGGTCTCAGTGCCCCTCGTTCAGCAAGTAGCTAACAGAGCTTGCTGTGTACCGGCCTGTGGTGCTTGCTGCAGTGATAAGACAGGCAAGTTCTACCCTCAGAACTTAAAAAGAAACAGTAAACAGCACACAAGCTCAACACAGGCCACTGAGTGCCTTGAAGGAAGTAAACAAGATGATTTATGTGAGTGTTAAAAGGGCTTAGCGATCGTGGAGGCAGGAAGGTCTGTGTGAGCAGGGACATCTGAGGGGCCAGCCACGTGAGAAGCACGGCGGGAGGGACAGCAAGTGCAGAGGCCGCCCCAGGCGTTGAGAGCCCAGGATAGCTGGAGCGTGGTGGGGTTGGGGTGGGGAAGCATACTCAGTTAGAAAGGAAGCAAGGGCAAGATCAAGCAAAAGAGTCTTGCTGGTGTATTAGAAAGCTGTGGAACTATTAAGGTTTTCACTGCTCCATGCCTGCCCAGCCCGGCATTTTCTCATTTGTGCCCAGAAATGTCAGGCAGGGCGCGATCACAAGACAGCGAGCAGTCTGAATCCAGAAGTGCGGGGTTCCCTAAAGCCAGTGCTTAGACAGGGGCCGGGCAGTTCTACCAGACCCGCCAGGGAAACACGCTGCAGCCGCAGTGTCCTGGATCCTCACCCCGGAGCTGTTGACTCACAGCGTCCAAGTTGCACCTGGGGCCTCTTTTTAGACACAAGCACATTTTAAACACAAGCAGAGATGCCTGCATATGCCTGGAGGCCTTCTGTGGAGAAGTGCGCCTATAAAAGCCAGGCGTGCCTCAGACAGATGTACATGCACCGTCTGTGTTGGGGAGCTGAGCACAGTGGACATGAGCTGTGGTGCCCTCCTGAAGAGAAATCTAGCCGAAACCCACATGGCGCCACACAGGCAGGCCCTGGAAAGTGAACCAGTGGATTCTCTGTGCTGCAGGTCCCCGTCTGGGCAACTCACCGGTGCCCAGCATTGTGCAGTGTTTGGCGAGGAAAGACGGCACAGATGACTTCTATCAGCTGAAGGTAAGTGAGGCATCTGACCAGGAGGCTCCGGCCAGGGCCCGTCCCGCCAGCCTGAACCCTCCCCTCTCCACCTTCCCCCTGTCCCACTTGTGCACAAGAGTGGCGCCATTTCTTCCCAGGAAGCAGTCAAGTCCACGGTCTCACTCAGGACGACTTGATTTCAAGAGCTTTATCTGGGCATTAATTAGACTGCTGTCATACTAAGAAAAACTTCTGTTTTGTGTGTGCATGTGTGAGTGTGTGTATGTTGGGGGGATGTTGCATGGTGGAACATGAACCCCTGCTTTTCTTGTTCTCCCCGTTCGACTTTGTAAAGTGTTTCTGGGTTTTGTGTGTGTGTGCCTTCCTGAAGATCCTTACCCTTGAGGAGAGGGGGGACCAAGGAATCGAAAGCCAAGAGGAAAGGCAAGGCAAGATGCTGCTGCACACCGAGTACTCTCTGCTGTCCCTCCTCCACACGCAGGACGGCGTGGTTCACCACCATGGGCTCTTCCAGGTGAGTGGCAGTGGGGGCACCCTGTCCTCCAGCCCCCGGTTGGCCCCAGGCGAGTCCAGCTCACCCATGTGAGTCCCTGGTGGCCCTGCAGGCCGGGTGCTCAGGCTTCCTGGGCAGGCGGGCGGGGGGGGCCCGCCTGGGCTGGGCCAGCACCGCAGCCCTCCTGCCCGGCAGCCACCGTGGCCAAGAACCCGCAGTTTACGCTTTTCCAAGAAAAGAGGAAAGCAGGAAGTTGTTTAAAGACATGTGGGCTGTGGCTGTGTTGTCAGGAATTAGCCAGGCTGGGGTGAGAGGGAGGGCAAGGAGGAAGAACCGGCACTCGGTGCCGCCTCAGGCTCTCCACAGCTGGTTCGGAACCACCAGTCCTTTTACTTGCTCAGACATTTCAGTTTGTTCCACAGTGTGCCTGGGCCAGCCTGGTGCGTGCGTGTCCCAGGGCCCCCAGGAAAGGTCCTAACTAGCAAGTTGTACTCCGAAAGGAGCCTTCCTTGGGGCAGAGCTGAAATTGTGTCTGTAAAATGGAGACCCAGGGTAGAATGCCCAGGGCCCCCTGCAGAGTCCCGCAGAGCTTCTGCACAGCCGTGAGCCAGGCTGCAGGCCCGGCTGCCTTTTGCTAGGATGAAGCAAGGATGGAGCTGGGATTTCAGGTGCAGACGTGACAGGGCACCTAGGCTTTGAAGCAGACTGCCCTGGATTCAGGTCGTGTGGCCTGAGGCCCCTAAACCCCCAATTCCTCCCCTGTACGATGGAAATAGTAATGGTGCCCAGCTCGTAAGGGGGTGGGGAAGATGAATGAAAGTGCCAGGCACTCTGAGATCCTGGGATACGGCGCTGTTACTCGGGCAATGAAAACTCGTGTGCCCGATTCTCTGAGATGCATAGGAAATGCCTCCACTCACACACACTACTCCACCAGAGGCAATTCGGTATCATTAGGCAACTCCAAAAATAAGTTTCCCTGAAAGATAAACTCAAATTGAAGGGGGTTGTGATTTCTTAGTGGTTCATCTCTGGCAAGCTTCTGAAGCTTGGCCTTGGTTTTTGGCATGCTGGAAAAGGAACCTGATTGGTTAGCAGCATTTCTAGACTCATCTGTGTTTCAGAATCTGGGCTGGTCCTCTAGGAGATCAAGAGTAAGAGACCCGATCCTGTTTTTAAGGGAAAAAGTGGATATCTGGTCCCTAGAAGTTCCCCAGAGGCCACGAGCAGTCTGCTGGGGATGAGACAAGGGCCTCCTCAAGTGAGTAGGACCTGACTTTGGCTTACTTGAGATACTTTTTGGTAAGAGAATGTTTCTAGAACTTGCAGGCCTCCTCACCAAGCCCTGGCTGGGGCAGGACTAATCATTTGGTCTTACTACTCTCAGCAACCTGTGGGGTGGGTATGGCTTGTTCCCGTTCACAGAGGAGCAACCAGAGACTTCCAGGGGTGAGCTGACCGGCCCCAGGTCCCATAACTAGTACAGGACAGTGCTGGGTTGTGAGCCCGGTTGTCACCAGCCACAGCCACACTTTTAACCACTGTCCCACGGCCGCCTAGACGTCCGGCTCCATGTGAAAGCAGTTCTTTCAAGCACAGAACACTTGACCACCCCCCCAACCCCACCCCCAGTCATGGACTTTGGAAGGAAGTTTACATCTGTCATTGCGGAATTCCCAGGAGTGTTACAGACGGGGGAGGATGTCCAGGGCCCTGGTGCCTTCAACTTTAAATGCCCAGTCCTGAGCTGGAATCTTTGTATTAGGGGCCAAGCGTGAGGCCTGAACTGAGCTGATTTAACTTCAGCGACAGACTAGGCCTGGCACAATGGCATCCAGGCTATTCCGAGCAGCCCATGGTCCATGTTCCTCTGCCCCATACACAGCTTATTCCAGGTTCTCACTGTCTGTGCCTGCATTCCAGATGAGAGTCCCAAGCCCCTGTCCCCGCGGGGCCTACAGCTCACCCCTCGTCCACTCCCTTCCTTCCCAGGACCGCACCTGTGAAATTGTTGAGGACACAGAATCCAGCCGAATGGTGAAGAAGATGAAAAAGCGAATCTGCCTTGTCCTAGACTGCCTGTGTGCGCACGACTTCAGCGACAAGACCGCCGACCTGATCAACCTGCAGCACTACGTCATCAAGGAGAAGAGGCTCAGCGAGCGGGAGACCGTGGTCATCTTTTACGACGTGGTGCGAGTGGTGGAAGCCCTGCACCAGGTGAGGCCCACTCCCTGCAGCCCCTTCTCTGGCCCAGGGCACCCTGGGTCCCCCGACAGGCCTCTGTCCCCTACATGATATGGAAAGCCACTTTCTTACTGAAGCTCAGAGGGAGCAGGGCTTTCTTGCCTTCGCCCAGAGGCACTTTACAGCCGAGTGTCCAGAAGGAAAGTGAAGTGATATGCAGAGGAGGCCCAGGGCTCAGGCCTCAGCCCAGACCTGGGAGGGCTGCAGGCCCTGAGCATCACAGCAGTTCCCTGTCAGGAAGGTTACACTCTCGTCTCCAGTGTGTGGGCCTCATGGGGGCTGTGAAGTAGCCACCCGACTGGCCACAGCCTGTCTAAGCTTTTCCCAGGGTTAGGGGTGTCAGGTGGCCTAACACAAGTCAGGAGAGCCTGGACCTCTTCCAGGGTTGACTCCTACAGGCCTATCTCCAGAATTGGGAAAGTTCATTGCTGACCCAAGATCTAGCAGATGCTTCTTTGATGTTGGTATTTGATGGAGCTGAAGAGGAGAGGGGTGGTTTTCTCATCAGCTGCCCTGAGGGAGGAAGAGCTGGGAAACCTCCCCGGGTAGGGCGGAGCCTGCCCTGGCTCCATATTAACCCCGATTGTCACCCGGCTAATGAGGCCTCAGCATGGTCCTGATCTGCCTGTGGCTTACAGATCAAAGCCTGGCACTAAAGAGACATAGCCTGGCGCGTCGACGCCGGGCCCGGCCTGAGAGCCACCTCAGCTCTCACCTGCATGGTACAAGCCACGCACCTGTTGTTTTCCAGAAAAATATAGTGCACAGAGACCTGAAGCTTGGGAACATGGTGCTCAACAAGAGGTAAGGCTTGCGCTTCTTTCACGGCTCTCCATGGGGGCGGGACCCAGGAGCCCAGCAGGAAGATGGCATATCTGCTTCTTTCTCCTGCCCCATGGGAATGGGGGTCTTGAAGGCTATGGAAGGAATGATAGAAGGGGTTCAGATTTCAGAGCGCCCCCACCCCACCCCCGTGCCATACACTTGTCAGGCTTCACACGCTCTTGGTGAGAAAACTGAGGCTTAGGTGAGTTCTGAGGGAAAGACAGACGCTCATGCAGCTTACTCGGGGGTGCTCCCTGGGAGAAGGGGGCGCAGCTGGGCAGAGGAAGCAGCTCACCTGGGGTGTGGTCAGGACAGGACTTCGTGGTGGTGCGTGGCCCTGCGCCTCTGTTGTGACTTGCAACGAAAGTGGGCTGTGTTGGAGTGGGGCATAGCCTTGGCCAAAGGGGCTTTCTGGAAACACACACGGTGCTGCTAGGCAGAGCCAGCCCTCCAGCCATAGGAGGGACTGAGCTTGCGCTCTGGGAGGGGATCTGGGCTCACCCCAGTGTCCTCAGTGACCCAGTGATGGGGAGACCCCTCGAGGCCCTGTCTTTCTCACCCTACCCCATCAGGCACCAGGTCTGAGCCCCTTCCCAGTGAGTCGGGGCGTCACCAGAGGGTCACCAGCCAGAGAAGGCAGGACTGAGGAGCGACAGAAAGAGGCCTCTGTGTGCTCCCTCCACCCTCAAAGCACAAAGCTGGCAGGCAGTCTCCCTCACCTGCTCCCTGAGCCTCTCACCCCACCGTCATCTGTTAGGGGTCGGAGGCTCACCAGTGGCAGGCAGGCAGAAGTGGTTGGTGAGTCGTTTGTTCCACAATGGGCCACCTACCCACGCGGGGCCCTGGGGCCCACTGTCCAGTGAAATGCCCAAAGGCACAGAACCTGGAAAGAACCTGCAGGGAGACAGGCCTCTGGAAAGGATGTGTGGTGGCTCCTGCGGCGCCAGCTGGAGAAGCTAGCAGGAGGTCACTGATGCACCTCAGCGGTAGCGGTGTCCAGAAGCCCAGCATCCAACAGGGCGCCGGCGGGAATGCCACGGGAGCCGCGCTGGGATCGGTGCAGAGCGGAGGGGCAGCGTCTCTGCCATCTGGTCAGTTCAGGAAAGATGAGTCAAGGTCTGCCAGGCTGAGAGGTGACAAAAACCTGACCTGTTGTGCTCTACAGGGAGGGGGAGGGAACAGAAATTCCAGGGTCGCCGAACCCCAGTAAAGTGGGAGAGCGACAGGGCTTGGATCAAGCTGGCTTGCAGCCCAGAGCTGCCTCATAAACACACTGAGACCATGAATTCATTCACGTGTGCACTGAGCTGCTGTCACTCAGCTTCCAGTTCCTCGCCTGTGGAGGTGGAGGTGGCCCTGCAGACATTGTCCTGCAGCGGGAAGCTGCCTAGCAGCACTGGCCCGCCGTGAGCACACTCCCATGCTAGACCTGCCGGGGACTGGAGGCCCGCTGTGTGGGGGGTGGCTGAGGGTGCCTCTGGCCCTAGCTCTGAAAGGCGCCAGGAGTGCTGACCGTCCCCTCTCTGCGGGCGCCCTAAGAGTCAGGAGCCCTGGGGCCTGGCCATCTGCGGGAAGTTAGGCCGGTCACCGTCCCACTGTCCACAGAGAGGGCACCCGGCTGTCTGGCTGCCAGGCGCACGACCTCCTGGCCTCTGTGGCTCCAAATGAGCATCCCTGGGCTGTTTTGGGAACACAGTTGGGCCTCCCAGCTGCTAACCATACCAGCACTCAGGGGCCTTTGTCTCCCTGAGGGCTTATTTCCGGCACCACTTTTCCACGCCCCTAAGTTCTGGGAATGCAGGCAGAGGTCACACCTTTCAAGCAAGGCCAGTGTAGCTGAGTGACTCTGCTCTATGTGCCTCCAGGTGTGTCTGCGCACATGCACATGCACGTGTTCATCTGTGTCCTGTTTAGAGGTCTCCCTGGCTTTACCCGTGACTCACAGGCAGGCGCATCCCGTCTGAGTCCCACAAGGACCTACACAAAATGGAGGCTGTTTATGGACTGCGGTGTCAGTATGCCGTGCGTGGTGGCAGGTGCTCGTGTCTCCCCGGCTGCCGAGCGCCGGGGCCTGCATCTTGGCTGCACTCCCTTTAGTCCAGTCGCATTGTCCTGCGCCGTCAGAGGCGTCCTGGGTGCTGCGGGAGGAGGTAGGGCGGCGAGGTCAGGGCCTCCACGGCAAGGTCAGGGCCTCCACGGAGGCCAGCACTGCTCCACACCCCTCCTCCAGGGCCTCACTTTCATCCTTGGGAAGGCAGCCGTTGACCTGGTGGAGGGGTGCGCCTGCCTGCGCTGGTAGTGTGCCCTGGCCCAGCCAGAGAGGCAGCAGGCGCGGGAAGTCTCGGCTGCTCTGGGGAGGACACAGGGAGCTGTGTTTGTGAGGCAGTGGCAGGGACAAGTTCATCCACCCCGTTTTGGATAAAAGGCAAAGGTTGAAATCCCCTTTGGGGTTATGTGAGGTTTGCTGTGGGCTCTTTCTCCTTCCGCCTTGCTTTTTGGGTAGGCAAGTTGCACACTAAGTTCCTAGAGGAGGAGAAAAACACTGTGGTCGCCCAGAGGGCCATATCTAAAGAATGACTCACTCAGAGCAGCGCCTGTTTGACGCACGGCGCTCCCCCTGGAGCCCTCGCTGCCAGGACAAGGCCCGGGGGTCCGGGACACCCAGTGATCTGTGCACCACCCAGCCATCCTGGACGCCTGTGGTGGGGGTTGGTGCAGGGCGGGGAGCGTGCCAAACCCAGGCGGTCTCAGGGCTGACCACGTGGCTTTCTAGGGGAGAGACCAGCCTCCTCGGCAGCCACACAGCACAGGCCTGCTCAGACCTACTTCCCTGACTGCAGAGTCAGCTACCATCTTCTCAAACCCACCTCCCCAGCCCTGGGCATGGAGGGTCAGCAGGTCCTGCCAGCAGCAGCCAGCAGATAGCTCAGCCCGCACGCCCTTATGAATTGTTGTCACAGTGTGGCCCCCACCTGCCACCTCAGAGGGGATGTCTCTGTTGGGGTCTCCCGTTGGCGCCTCTGCCAGGCCTCCCTGCCATCTGAGGACGGATGATGACACAAGCTTGGCGTCAGTAGTCAGTTACTACTGCCAGCTGCCGGGCCAAGCGCTCTCCCCGGGTCGTCCTACCTTGTCAAACCCTGCACAGCCCCAGGAGTTAAGTGCTAATATTTTCCGCTATACACGTGAGGGAACTGAGGTTTAGGAAAAGAAAAAACAGCATGGCCAAGGTCACACGGCCAGGAGTGCCAGGCTGGGACACAAACCCAAGAACCTGACCCCCAGGTCCACCAGACGCCCCGAGCCATCTTGCCAGGTCTGGCGCCTCAGAGAACATATTCCATACAAGCGGCCGTCTCTCGCTGAGAAGAAAGCACAGTGCCGCTGCTCTGCGGGACTCCCGCCTGGGCAGCCCGCATCCCCCAGCAGATGGAGGTTGGGGTTGGTGCAGGCCCCTTCTTGGCGTACAGTATCCTTGACAGACTCCGCCTGCCCCCAGGCCTCTAGCCACCTTGGAGGCCACCAGTCAGACTTCTGTGCCGTCTGACCAAACAGGCCTGTGTGGAGAACTAGAGTCAATGTTTCCGTTTGGAAGGCAGAAGACAGACTGGCCTTTGTTTCACACCAGGCAAGATTTGCCAGCAGAATTCCCCGAGATAGCAAAGGGCTCTCGGAGCCTCTTGGACACCGCTCCTGGGGAATTCCACCCTCAGCCACACACACACCCTTGGCCTCTGAGCTGACCTTCCTCTCCGACCTGAGACTTTTCTAGTGAGAAGTGGACCAGGGCTTGCGTGGGATTTCCCTTCCTGCCGCCCTCCCTGGCTTCTCTGCTCGCCCTTGGGGTGGAGGTGCCTTTCTCTCCAGTCCTTCCCCAGGGGTGAGGAAACCTTCCTTGGGCCTCCTCGAGGGGGCCTGCCCACCCACAGTCCCAGGCGGGGAGTAAGGCATCCTCTGAGCTGCTTATTTTGTTCATGTTGTGAGCGTCCCAGAAAGGGGCAGACCCATAGCTGCTTGACTAAGTCTTGGGTGGGGGAGTGTCTATTTTCTAGGTCAGGGCAGAGTCTCAAAGTCCAAGGCAAGATGAGTCACCTTGGATGGGACAGCAGAGAAAGTCAGGCCCCAGACACTCTTTAGGGGCACAGTAGGTACCCAGAGGGGGTCAGTCCGGGCTACAGGCTGGTTTGGATCCAGTTCCACTACTCACCCATCTCCTGACCTGCGGCATGGCCTGCATTTCTGCGCCAGCGTCACATCACCTGTGAAATAGCTGGGCGGTGAGCATGCCCCTCCCCGCTGCTGTGAGGCGCGGAGAGGGTTGCGCTGGGAGCAGCCCCCAGTGTTCGGTGAGCTTTGGCAGACAGCTCTGCCAGGACTCAGCAGAGGGGAACTGAAGTGGCACCGGGCCTGTGCCGCAGTCCAGCTGGCCTGCCTTTTGCTCACATGTAAATGGGGGAATTGAACAAATCTCAAGTTGTTCCCAATGTAAGCGTTAATGTGAGGTCATTTGGGGCCGTCTCTGCCAGTTGTCCCAAGTCCTGGGCCAGGCTGACAGGTTCAGAGGAGCACCCCGGAAACACCTACTTGGTCACGGCGACTCAGATCCCTGCCAGGACGCATGCAGAGGCCGCTCCCAGGGCGGCGGAGCGGAGCGGCCTGTGTCGGCACCCTGGGCGGCCTCTCCACGCAGCCATGGGGCAGCGAGGGCCAGGGGGCAGAAGAGGCTCTGGGCAGGAGGCCTTTGCTTCCCAGACCAGGGCAAGGGGCAGCTGGGGCGCCCGCGGGCACACAGGTTTGCTCACGCTCTACCTCTCACGCCAGGACGCATCGGATAACCATCACCAACTTCTGCCTCGGGAAGCATCTTGTGAGCGAGGGGGACCTGCTGAAGGACCAGAGGGGGAGCCCTGCCTACATCAGTCCAGATGTGCTCAGCGGTACGTGCCCTTGCCAGGCTCTGCGGCAGGGCCTCCATGCCACAAACCAGGGGCACGCTTTGGAGTGGACCAAACGCGGACCACCACTCCTGCTACAAAGTTTGGGGTCTCGGGAGGAGAACTGTCACACCGTGCAGGTTTGCTCTCTGTGATTACTGCTTGGAAGGGAAAAAAACATGATTTCTGTGAGGACAAATAGCTGGCACTTGAAGAACTTCCCCACAGAATTCACATTTGGAAAGAGATCACAGGAGAAACAGGAACCCATGAAGGTGTGCAGCTGGGTGGGGGCGGCACAGCGTTGGAGAATCCCATGGGGCTGCTGCTCAGACAGTGACCTGGCCAGGGAGGCCGGTAAGGTGGGCAGGGCCACCTCACTTCAAGGGCGAGGGGCCTCGCTGAGTGCCATGGTGAGAGTTTACTCCCTTTTTTCACTGGTCCAGTCGCTCTGCTGGTATTTCCTGGAGGACTACTGTGTGCAAGACACAGCTGTAGCACTTTGGGCGCAGCAGCGAGCAGGCACACAGACATCCCTGCCACCTCAGACTGTGCTGACACCCTAGCAGAGCTGAGACAGGCAATACACAAAATAGTAAGTCACTCGTGTACTGCTTACCTACTGCCCTATGGGAAGCGCCAGGCACTGTGTAAGCACAAGGTTTGTGCTGTTAGAACCACACAGCTACCCTGTGAGGGAAATACCGCAAGCCTCTTCTTTGCACAGCTGATGGAGAGAGCACAACTCTTATCCAAAGGCATAGCTCAGAGTAAACTAGAACCTGGGGCTGCACCTTAGGCCTGCCTCCTGCCTGCCTCACTGACCCTCGGCTTTTCTTTCCCTTACCCCTTGGCATCCCAATGGAGGCTTCTGCAATCCAGACCTCTCCCAGGCTTCCTCTGTGCAGAGAGCAGTGCCACTTCCTAGGCCCTGGGATTTGGGCTGGGGTCACTGTGGCCTCTGCTAGAGAGATTGGGTGCTGGGAACTCTCTGCCCCCCCCCCCCAGCCCAGGCTGTATGTTCCATAACAGTCCCCAGAGCTTCTTTGTGGGTGACAAAGCCAGGAGGATGAAGCAGTCCTTCCCTCAGCCCTGTGTGTGAGGTGGGGTCCGTGTTGACGTCAGAGGAGGGCTGACTTCTCAGCAGGACTGCACCAGGGGGGCCTCTGTGTGCAGTCACTCCCTGCTGCTGTTCATGGCCTTTCTCTGGTCAAGCCTTGCAAGATGAAGCAAAGGCCTTGCATCAGAATGAGCCTTAGACTGAGGCCAGCGATCTGGGCTCTGCTTGACCAGCTGTGTGAGTCGGCCTTCTCGGAGCCTCAGTCTCCTCCTGGGCTAAAAGCTGAAAACAGTTTTGCCTCCCCACAGTGTTAAGAGAACGCAGCAGAATGACTAAGTGTAAGTCCTGACATGTGGGCGTCAGTACCACTGTCTTCTTTCTGTGTGCCAAGCACACCCTGAGCACGGGACGCGGAGCTACGGAAAGGCAGGCATGTGCGCCTCATGGAGGTTATAGTCTGGCTAGTGGGCGGCCTTGGGAACGTTGCGGAGCCCCCTTGGCCTCCGTTTCCTCATCTATAACACAGACGTGATAAAGTGCCCTACTTCATTGCGTCCCTGTGGGACTAAGACCTCTTACCTAGAGTCTGGCTCAGTGAGCACTGGCCGTACTAAATGAAAAGCTTGACACTCAGTGATCTCAAAGGCTGAAACGCAGGGAAGGTCGCTTGCCAGCTGGAGCTTCGGGGAGAGCCTGTCGATCATCCCTTCCCGAGTCAGGACCGAAGTCATGGGTCCATCCCTTGGGCCGGCCCAGGCCAGGAACCCACTGCCTGACCCTCCCTTGGACAGAAACACCTTCCAGCTGCTACACGGAGGTGGGACAGCCCTCTGGGAGCCACACAGAGCCAAGAGTCATGACTTGATGGACTCTGCCTTGATGACCCCATGTGGTAGAGTGGGGTCGGGCAGGGACTGCCCTGGGTCTGGCTAGGGCATGCGGTGCCAGGTCACACCAGCTGCCTTCGGCGTTTAGGGTGAGAAGGGTCAGGGGCAATGCAGCCTCGGAGAGAGCTTGGCAGAGGTGCATCTCTGCAGAACTACCTCTGTGCCAGCCAGGGCAGAAAGTGACTCCCACAGCAGTCTGCTAGGCTGTGCAGGTTGTGAGGGAAGCCGTGTGGCCTTCCAGAGGCACAGGCCAAGGCCTGTGTTGGCACTGGGCGGGCACGCGCACACACATTACACTGCTCACCTTCAGGCTACTGGAGTCAGTGTCGCCTGCCGCAAGGGCACCTCAGATCACCTGGAGGTGGAGGGGCACAGAGGCAGGATTGCAGTTGCTGGGGGCTGTCTGGTGCCCAGGGAGGTGACGTGCATGCGTTGTCATGTTTGGGGTCCGGGTTTTCCTGGACGTCCTGATGTGGCAGACAGGGTGCTGTTGCAGGGATTTGAAAGGCTCATGTTCTCCTATTTGAAGGATGCTGGGGGACGTCTTGGGCCACAACTGGCAGGAGGCAGGAGCTCAGCTGATGGGGTTTGGGTGATTTGTCCTGGAAATGGGAAGAGTAGGGCTTGTCAGTTGGGTGACCTTGGACACATAATCTCCCCATGCCTCATTTTACTTTCTGGAAAAGTAGAGAAAGTATGTTCCCTCTTGCTGTGGAGATTTAATGAACGCTACTCTGGTGTCCGCGCCATGCTGGCCCTGCTGTTTTATGGCGAGGAACACGGCCTCGGCGCCGACTCCACTAGCCGTGTGTTCGCTTAGCAGATGTTTGTGCCTGTGCTGTGCACGGGCGCGGTAGCAGAGAGACAGGACCCTCTCCACTGGACACTGTCCCTTCCAGTGGGGGGAGCAGGCACGCTGCCAGAGGGTCCTTGCAGACCCTGCTGAGTGCGGGAGTCGGGTCAGCTTTGCTCCAGCCGCTGTTGGCCGCCTGCTCTGTGAGCTGCCTGCTGGGGCCCCGGCCCAGGCCCAGCTCCGGGAGCTCGCCGTCTGGCACAGCAGAGCGGGAGCTACCAGCAGATGGGTGGGCTGCAAGTTCAAGTGTGATCCCTTTTCCTGGGTGGGGCATCGTCTTGCAGAACTGATTCCCGAAGCCAGTATAAGCATGGGCAAAGGTCCAAGGCCTGAGACAGTGCTGCTCAGGAGGGGGATGACCAGAAGCAAAGGTGGTCTTTCAGGTGCAGAGTCGCTCAGTGCATCCTCTCCCCTGAATCTGGGCTGAGGGCGCCTGTGTTCGTGTACCCACAGGCCGGCCATACCGGGGCAAGCCGAGCGACATGTGGGCCCTGGGGGTGGTGCTGTTCACCATGCTGTACGGCCAGTTCCCCTTCTACGACAGCATCCCGCAGGAGCTCTTCCGCAAGATCAAGGCCGCCGAGTACACCATCCCTGAGTGAGTCCTGCCGCCCTGGGGTGGCGGGAGGGAGGCTCAGCTCTGTGGGCTCGAGGAGTGGGGACCACACGGCGAGGCTTGGGGTCCTGGGTGGGAGGCCAGCACCAGCACACCCCTGAACCCTTTCCTCCTCCCACGTCAGGGACGGGCGGGTTTCCGAGAACACCGTGTGTCTCATCCGGAAACTGTTAGTCCTCGACCCCCAGCAGCGCCTGGCTGCCACCGACGTCCTGGAGGCCCTCAGTGCCATCATTGCATCGTGGTGAGTAGGCACACTGGGCTGGGTTCTGCTCATCCACCCAAAAAAGCAGCCTGAGGGTGGGCCTGTTTTTCCAGAATTTTTGACATGGGCAAGATGGGGAGGGAGCAGGCAGGACTCAGGTCGAGCATCTCCTGCATGCCAGTGGATGCCAGCTGTGGCACGAGCATTATCAGGTTACCACAGACTGAGGTAGAAATGGTGCCCTGTATCGGATAAGAAAGCGTCAGAAAGGAGCTGTTGACTCCAACCAAGTCTGGGAGTAGTGGGCACCGGCCTTGCTGGGCTCCTACCAGCTAGGCCCGGGAGCAGGGGCCCTGGAGCCAGGCTGACCTCTCTGCCCCTGCAGGCAGTCCCTGTCATCCCTGAGTGGCCCTTTGCAAGTGGTTCCCGACATCGACGACCAAATGAGCGGTGCAGACAGCTCCCAGGAGGTGAGTGTGAGACAGGCCCTCAGCAGGGCAGAGCCGCAGCTCCCGCGGGCCCCGGGGCCTCTTTGCCTGGGCCGTCCCCCGTATCTGGCTCAGTGGGCAGTTCTGTGGCCTGAGAGAGGGCGGAAGGCCAGCTAGGAGGAGCCCAGAGCACAGAGGCCTCCCCATGGCCCAGCCTGGCCCCTTCTTGGCCTCCTTTTCCTGCCCAGGCCCTGACTCAACACGTGTTAGCCCTTTAAACAGTCGATTTCTCTGCCCCTCTGACTCACAGGCTTCTCTCTCACCCTTCCTGCTTTTCATTTTTTCAGATGATTCATTTTTTCCCAGTTTTCTCTCCTCCCCTTTTCTCTGCACTGAAGAAAGTGCTGGGCCAGGGTGGGGGCAGAGAGCTAAGTGCCAGGCAGCACCTGGCAGGGGCCCCCTGGAGGCAGGGCTTGGCCCAGCAGGAAGGGATGCTGTAGGCCCTCCCTTCCTCTGTCTTCTCTGAAGTGCCAAGCGTTGGGCAGATACAACCAGGAAGGATGAGTCTGGAACCAAGCAGAGACTCCTGGCTCTTGCGAAGAAACTCTAGGTCTTGCCCCTCCCCCAGTCCCCACCCTTCCAAGGACAATTGAGCAGCTGAAAATACTCACCCTAGCATGCAGCGAGCGCAGCTCCCTCTCTCCGCACTGCAGACCCATGTGGCCGCTGCTGTCTGCCTACTTTTGCAAAAAAGGAAACAGGCTCAGAGAGGCATACAGCTCTCCCAGAGCCACACAGTGGGAAGTGGTGGGCCTGAGCCTTGACCGCATGTCCGGCCCCAAAGCCCTGCAGGCCCTGGCCTTCAGTTTATTAGTCTGCCTGGGCCACTCCAGGAGCTCAACATTCGAGAGAGAAAAAACAGGGTCCTCCAGGTGCTGTGCGCCCCATCCCTAAACACTTGACATGCCCTGGCCCCAGAACCTCTAGATTACTACCCCGCTTCCCAGGCACGGAGGCCCAGGCTCCCGAGGCATTGTGCCATCTCCCAAGGTCAGTAAAGTCAGGAAGGGGGGCACAGCTCAGGTCACAGCTCTGGGCTTCAGTGGGGCAGGGTCCAGGTTTGGAGGGCTCCAGAGGACACCGCGGTCAGCACCCAGCTCCAGGCCTAAGGGTGTGTGCCTGGGCCAGAGGCCCTCAGAAGCAGGCTGCCGCTGTCCTCTCCACCTCACTCTCCTTTCCCTCTGCAGGCCAAGGTGACGGAGGAGTGCTCCCAGTACGAGTTTGAGAACTACATGCGGCAGCAGCTACTGCTGGCCGAGGAGAAGAGCTCCATACACGAGGCCCGGAGCTGGGTGCCCAAGCGGCAGTTTGGCAGCGTGCCGCCGGTGCGGCGGCTTGGCCGCGACGCGCAGCCCATGAACCCCTTGGACGCAGCCATCCTGGCACAGCGCTACCTGCGGAAGTAGCCTCGGCGGGGCCACCCCACCTCTTCCAGCCCCCTGCCAGTGTGCTGGCTGTCGGGCCTGTAGTGCTGAACTCTCCCCCAGGCTGCGACAGGGACAGGCAGGCCAGCCCAGGCCAGGCGTGGGGTCAGCAGAGGTACCACGAAGCTACCTTTTGGAATGATTGCTTGATTGTTTGGTTTTTAATCTGAGAATCCTAGATAACTAATCTGCTTTTAATCATGACGTTTTAATCTACCTCTGTCTCTTTAACCATGCTGTCTCTGGACTGAGTGAGGAGGAGGAGGAGGGAGCCCACCCACCCACCCACCCACCCAGGGGCCTGGTCAGCCACCCTGCCCGCCAGACCCACCTGGGGCAGCTGCGCCCTACAGTCCAAATAAGCTGAAAGTGCAGCTCAGTGCTGGCTCCCAAAACAACACCCACCCACTGCCCTCCCAGCCTCTCCCAGTCTGTTTTCGTCCCTGGGCCCCTCGATCCAAGCTTTCGAGAACCTTCACCTCATCTTAAGCGGAATTCAGATATATTTATTTTTGTACTGAAATCAACTCCTTGCCCATCTCTAGGTGGCTCAGCCCATGGGTACCCCTGGCCCCCAGCCTGTCTGGAAGTGGGGTGTTCACAGCCCACAGATGGCCCTCCTCTCCCCAGGCTTAGAGAAGCCCCTTCTTGCCGGCCCCTCCACCTCCAGCCACCAGTCCCTCTTTGTTTCTGGTGGTGGGGAGACCTTTCTAGACCTGGTCCTTTTCTCCATCTCAGTAGCTTCTCTGAGGTGCTGTACACTTGCATTAACCCTGACCTCCTTCCCCACCCTTCACTGTGGTACCAAGGTAACGCTGACAGACATGGGGGTACCTGGTGGTGGTGGGCTGCCTGAGAACAGGTGACCCCGTTTGCATCCCCTCCCCACAAGAGGACTCCCGACTCTGTTCAAAGAAGGTGGAGGCGTCTCCCCTGCTGCCCAGGGGAGACATGGTGTCTCTCCCAGTGGACCCTAGCCAGGGTCCTTCACGGGGGTGGGAGCTTTTGGGGAGAGGGAGAGGGCCCTGCCTGGTTTGAGAACAGCCTGCTGCCCTTTTTGAGCCGAGATTTTGAAGTGGATGCCCGTCTTGCCAGAAATGCTGTTCTCACCAGAACGCCCTCCGCTCCCACTCCCCCTCACTGGACTTGACCCTGCCCCCTGACCCGGGAGAGGCCAGGTGTTCTCCTCCAGGCAGCCCTGGGCCCTGAGACCCTTCCTGCCTGTCCTTGCTCCCCAGTGGGGGGTGGCCAAGGCCTCCAGGGTCTTGTTTCCCGGAGTGTGAGCTGTCCCCTCCCCAAAAGCTGACTCACTGTGAGTGACTTGGGCAAGTTCCCAAACCTCCTTGTGCCTCAGTTTCCCCATCTGGAAAAAATGGGGCCACCTCTTGCCAGCAGTAGCAGGGCCGCCCACGCCCCTTCATCCCCATGCCCCCACCCCAGCACTTGGGCGTCTCGTGCCTCTGCCTCAGTGGGTCTGTGGGAGCCCGCTTGAGCCCAGCCCGGCACTTACACCCCTGAGCTCCTGGATCTGCCTCCATCAGCCGTCCAGCCGCTGAGAGCCAGGGTCTCGTGCTGTGGGGGTAGGGATGTCCTCTTTTCTATTTATTTCAAAAAGAAGTCTCCTGAGGGAGTAGAAGTGCAGTCTGGCCTAGGGCCCCAGCTCCTGTGACTGTCCTGTCAGGGTCCAGGCCGAGCCCCTTGTGCCAGCAGCCTGCCCAGACCCTCCGGGCCTGCTTGCCATGTGTGGTCTTTTTCCTCCTTTTCAAAGCAATATCCTCTGGTTCTGCAAAGCCCTGTCAGACAAGACTGGTCCCTCCCAAGGTCAATCCATGTGTCTGATTACATTTCTGGCAAAGCAAATGAGAGGAGTTTGGGTCTGCCCTCACTGGGTGTCACACGCCGAGAGAAGTCCTATTGTAAAGAAAACAAAACGGAAAAAGTCACAAAAAAGTTTGTATAAAGACATATTTTTGTACTACATGGGGACTCTTCCTGCATGTCAGCAATAAAACTTCCTGATCTGGAGCCACCGTGGCCTGTATGGACTGCCGTTCTTGCCCCCGCGCCTGCGACTCCCTCTGTGCCGCCCAGCGCCCAGCGTGGCTCTCCGGCCCGCGCAGGACTCCCTCACCCCTCACCGGGGCTTTCCTGCCTGCCCTCCCCGCCTTGGATGGGGGAGGGGACTGGGACTGCCCAGCATCCCCGCAGCCCCACTGGCCCAGCCTCCAGCTAAGTGCCCAGGTAGAGACGCCCGGCTGGCTTAGCCCCAGACCCGTGCACGCAGAGCAGCTGCACCTGGCAGAGCATTGCTCATCTCTCCGTGGGGGAGCACGTGCCCACATGCCAGGCCGGGTAAGCAGAAGAGCCAGGCCTGGCCTTTTCCTGCCCCACCCCCCTCCCCTACCCTCCCTAGGAAGCAAAGCGGGCTCCTTCCTTTCTTCTTTCCTTCCGTCACCTAAATTTAGACACCGCCCTGAACATCAGGGCAATGAACTAGAGGTAGCTGCCCAACCCAGCACCCCATGGCCCACGGAGGCCTACTCTTATACTCAGGAACCCACGCATCGGCCCAGGTCGCTGAAGGCGTAGAGAGCCTCCCAGACAGGCAGGACCCCTTTCCAGGCGAGGGTCCACACAGCCAGAGGAGGGCACCTCCAACAGGTGAGAAGGCCCCGATTCTCCGCAAATACTTGAGAGCAGTTCCCTGGCCCCTCTCTCCACGCCACTCACCCAGATGAACCCCAGCAGCCCAGTGGCCACCATCTTCTCAACCTCTGGCACAAACCTTGCCTGCTCCCTCTGGCCCATACCTCGGCTGTCCCAGTGCACAACCAGGAGGTCCCTCACTTCCAGCCCACGGCAGCAGGTGCGGCTCCCAGCCGCCACCCTGGGTCTCGTCTCCATTTGCAGCCTTGCTCCTGTCCCCTGACCCAGTCAGCCTCTGTTCCGTGCACAGACACCCCGGGGCTCCACCCTCTACTGCCAAGATGTACACTTGGCAGTACGAGCCATGGGCAGGGACTTTGGCTCCCTCGGATCCTCAGCACCTACAACTGGCCTGGCATGTAGGTGACACCCCAGAACTGGTCAGTTATTGATCTAAGTTTTTTGGATCTCACTTCACAAGTTTTTATTGCAAGTCCTAGAAGCAGAAGAAAAGGAAAGTTCCAGAAAGGTATGACCTCCAGGAGCCTCTTACGGCTCCTGAAAAAGCAAAATGAAGTTTCTACTGTACTTAGCCACTGCCTGGTCCTCAGTGAGAGCAGCCTCCAAGTGAAGCCAGACCGCTTTGAGGCTATCTGAAGTGGGGGAGGAAGTGCGGAAATGGAGCCTATGACTATGTTGTTCAGGCTCCAAAGCCAAGTGAGCCTCGACCTCTTGCCTCTCCCCCTCCGTCTCCTGCCTTTCCTCCCCCTGCCCCACCTTCAGTCACTGCTAACCCTGACAGCCAGCCGGGCAGAATCTGACTTCTCCAGTTCCTTGCCACCGACCACCCTATGCACGGCCCCATCTCGACATTCCTGGTCTTCCGGCTCCACTCTTCCTTCTGACAGCCCGGGGGACAAGCAGTGAGCAAGCACTTAGAAGCCAGGCGCTCACCCTCTCCTGTTTACACCCCCTGATGGTTTCCAACCCGCGCAGGTTATAATGAGCTCCCACCCCACCAGCCCTCCTGCTAGCTCTCGAAACCCCGATCCTCACTCACTGCCCCAGCCCACAGGCCTACCTGCTAGCCCCGTAGGAACCGAACACACCTCCACCTGGAGGCCCTGGCATCGCGTTATGGCAGTAAGCACGGGCGGGTTCTCTATTCATTCGGGCAGACAGATACAGGGGTCCTGGAGTCCCCAGTGGCTTTTCCAGGCTTTAATGCTCTTTCTACATCAAATGTGGGGCAAGCCCGAGGCTGGTAAGGCAGGGAGGCTGGGACGGGGAGGCTGGCAAGGCTTCCAACCCAAACTTGGCTCTTCTCTTCGGGCTCTCCGGCGTTCGCTCATGGTGTCGCCCTCTCACAGCCGTTCCGCGGCCCTCCTGTCGTCTCCGAGTGAGCTGCCCTCATCCTCAGCCCCCGGGCTCAGCTGTGCTCCCCTACGCATGCCCACACCCATGCCCCAGGTGAACGCCATCAAGCACACGTGCCCCGCACCCACGCTCCCCCGCGCCGTCTGCGTTCAAGGCTGCAGGTGATAGCCACACAGGCCAGCAGCGTAAAAGCCTGACCATCTTCATTTACCCTACTTACTGGCTTTTCTTTCTGGAAGGCTCTGCCGATAGCTGTTTACATGCTCCCTCCCCCACTTCCCACTGCCCATGGCACCTCCTCAGACAGGGTTTCTCTGAAGGTGTACTGTGGTCCTGTCCCGTCAACCAGGTCTTCTCTAACCCTCTACCTGCTTTATTTTTCTTCCTTAGACTTATCACAGCCTGACATCACACACCCGATGACTAATTGTAACTCTCCCCTACTCCACATGTGCCTCATGAGAGCCATCATCTTCTGCATCCATGTGGGGGTGGGGAGGGGTTTCTGGTCATCACAATGCCTGGGGGCTGCTGCCGGCATTTGCAGGACAGGGAGCCAGTGGCTCCAGACAACCCCACAGGAAGGCAGACATCCTGCGCACAGAAGTAGAAAACTTGTTTATAATTCCTAGAGCCAAGAATTCAACTCCATTTGACACAAACACAAAGGATGTAGCAGTACATAAAATACACTGAGATCACAGGGCCGCGTCTGCTGTGTGAAGTAGAGGAAACCAAACTTTGGTTCAGACCTCACCGAGAGTCCTCCACCGAGCCCCACAGCGCACCGTCACGGCCGGAGCCAGCGGCGCAGGCACCTGTCACGCCACTGTTGTCCACCTTACAGACGTGTCATTGCCTGCTACTTCCCTTACACTATGGAACTGGACACAGATATATTAAAGCAGATGGAGGTGGGTGCATTAGCCTCAGCTCCCATGTTGGGAACATCAGCTGTGCAATACAATGTACCATCAGTATGAAAAGAACGCGCTGGGCCCGGCAATGACATGTGGAGAGCGGTGACCCAGAGCTGCCTGGTGGGAGTCTGGCTGGCGGCGTGGGCGCTGAAGTGCCCGCACGGTTCCCACCACCTCAACCCATGTGACCGCACACGCGTGACAGCCTCCCCAATCCTCGTCTTCCTTCTCTGTCAAGTGCGGATGGTGCTACCGCCCACACAGGCTGCCCGAGGGTCTGAAGGCTGGTGTGCACGGTCAGATGCCACTCCCTGTCTGTAACTGTCACTCGTTTTACAAACTTTCACACTGCCCTTTCCAGCAGCTGTCCTGGGAGCTGATGGGGACTCAGAGAAGTGGTCTCAGGAGGCCGTAAGTGAGGCCCCTTCTTCCCTCCCTCCACCCAAAACCCAGACAGCTCTTGAGAACCCAGGGCTGAGAGGCCCAAGTGTCATGAAGTGAGCAACGGGGCCAGTCCACCGTGGCCCCTGGGGAGGGGGACGGAAACTTGCTGGGTCTTTGCATTGGGCCCTGAATACACCTGCTCCCCAAGCTACCCTCGGGCACTCCGGATCTCTCAGCTCTCTGACCCTTCCTTCAAGACCTGTTTTTCCCATGTTTCATCCCTCTCTGTGCCCCCAAAGTGATGACTCTAGGCTCCCTGGCAGACAGTGCAGAAAAGAAGCTGACAGGTGGGTAGCTGGACTGCCAGACAGTAGGCAGGTGACAGATGTGCAGAGATTCCAGCCACACAGTCAGAAAGCAGGTGGCAGGGCAGGCCTGCAGCTCGGTGTTGGGAGAATCAGGCAGGAAAGCAGACAGGCAGGTGGCCAGGACTGCCCAACTGCCCGCAGGCAATGGGGGAGACACAGGCTTTGGGCACCTCCCCAAGGCCTCCGGGCACAGCCCTCCAGACTCCTGCCTCTCACCTGGCTTGGCCACAAGTGAGGCCCTCTCTCTGGGACTGTGGTCACCTCCCCCGCCATGTGAAAGATGCTCACCTGCTCCCAAGGCCGTGTAGAAACAACACAAGCAATTCCAGACTCATAGAGCCCCACATCCAGACAGCATCCCACAAACCGAGGCCCAGTCCTCAAAGAGTTGGTCACTTGAGCAGTCCTGGCACACAGCAGCATTCACACAGAGGGGAGCCCCTCGGCTGGCAGCACAGCCCCCGGGACACAGCCCATCACGTCAGTGCCCAGCTTCTCTGCCCCATGTGACAAACTGGTCAGGACTTGTGCTGGCCCTCCGGTGCTCAGGCCAGACATCAAGATATCAAGCGGTTGCTCCCTGCCTCTTTCCCTTACATCCACATCCCAGGGCCCCATTCTGTCCCAACATTCTCTTTTGAATACTGCCCACCGAACCTGTCTCACCTCCCCCACCAGCCCCACTGCCCAAGTCCTGGGCCGCTGCTGCCCGGATGGCCGCCAGCCTGCACGTTGCTCTCCTGCTTCTTCTCATCCCACTCTGCTGCAGCTCATCTTAGCTGAGCACCCCAGCCCCGCAGGGATCACTCTAAAATGCGCCAGAAACCACAACCACAAACACAACTGTCTAGATTAAAACTCTCCAAAAGCACTTGCTTCACTTACAACAACATCCCTCCTCCATTACTCGCCATGAGAGTGGGGCAAAATGCCTGCACCTGCCTGGCTGTGCCCTGGCTCTCTGATGCCCCACCCCCGCCCCCAGATCCTGGTGTGCCTGGCCCCTCCTTGGGAGTCAGGTGTCACTTCAGTTTACCCCAGGAGTCCCCCAATCCCCTATTCCACCATCCTCCACCCAAGATCATCTTGGTCATCTATTGTCAGCACCCCGAGGGCTGAGATTTCTTTGTCCTACTAACTGCTGAAACCCAGTGGCTGGGAAGTACAAGCATCCATGCTGGGCGCTGTTGACTAGCAAACAGCAATATGGGTTTGCACACCTCCCCCCCACCCCCCAGAAGGCGCAAGCACGTGTGGCATGGAAACACACCCATTCCCATACAGGCAGAAGTGTGTGTCCACTGTCCACCTCTGCTCACAGCCCAGACCAGCCCCAAGGACATGGGAGTGTTTTCCATCCCCCAGAGCTTCCCTCCTAGTTCTTTCCCCATCTAGATCTGCCCTCTCTGTGAACCCAGTCTGAGGACTGGGAGTGGGGGGTCTCCATCCTGGACAGAGGAAGGGGGTGGTCACTGGCCCACAGGCCTCAGGCAGCGCCTTCAGCTATGTTTGCAATTTCCTCTCCCCCTTCCTTCCCTCCTCCTCTCCATGGCTCCTGCCAAGAAGGCCTCCCCCTCACCCAGCCCAGGAAGGGGGCCTCCTGAAAGCGGGTTTGGGAGTCTGGCCAGGAAGAAGACCCCGGCCATACACACTGATCATACCAGACACTGCCCAGATGGAAATGCAAACCCGTTTGGGGCAGCTCTAGCCAGATGGGAAAGCCATCAACTGCGAGGTGCAGGAGGGCCGGGCTCTGCAAGACTGGCCCGGACCTGGCTGGAAACCAGAGTCCAGCACTCATTAACCCTGCGCGACCGGAGTCCTGCCAGCTGGACACACTCACCAGCGCCCCAGCCCTGAGAGGGGACTGGAAGGGGGCGGGCCCAGCAAGGGGGGCAGTCTTCTGAGGTCGACGAGCAGGATGTAGGGAAGTAGTTGGGGCAATGCCGGGCCCTAGGATCAGAGCAGTGGGTTCGAATCCTGCTCACTTGGAAAAGCTACTCACGCTCTGTGACTAATTTGCCAAGTGGGGATCACGGTGCCCCCCAAGTCCTCCCAGGGCTGACAGAAATGGCTACGTGAGAGAATACTGCAAAGGGTTCAGACTTGCCGGCCCCTCGGCAGAGCTCGGTTCTCTGTGGCCGCGGCCGCCGCCCGGGGGCGGGTCCCCGCAGCCCGCCTCCCCCCGCGGCTTCCTCCGTCACCGAAGCCCCAGCACCCGGGCGGCATTTCCATACCCTAACCGCACCCCCACATGCACGCAGCTGAGCCAAGACG